TTTTTTTTTTTTTTTTTTTTTTTTTGTACCAGGGATCGAACTCAGGTCCTTATGCTTGTGAGGCAGGTGATGGAACCACTGAGCTAAATCCCTGGCCCTCACTATTTTTATTTTGAGAATGGCATCTTTACTGGTTGATGATAGTATAAATTTTTGTTTATTGAATTAATAAGAAATGACTTCAGGGGCCAGAAGTGTAACTCAGTGGTGCTGCATTTGCTTGGCATGCGTGAGTCCCTGATTTCAATTCCTGGAACCCAAACAAACAAACAAACCAAAAATAAACCAAAAAACCAAAACAAAAGCAAAAACAAAAAGACCATTACTTTAACTTCTGGTTTTAAAGTTGATTTTCTTTTTCCTTCCCAATGTATGGTCACATAATCTGTTTATAGTGGCATCTTCATCTTTTCCCTTATGTTATTTATGTTGCTCATTTCTCTTATTTATTTATTTATTTATTTATTTATTTATTTATTTATTTATTTATTGGTTTTGGGGATTAAACCTGAGTTTTTTTTCTTATTGCATTGGATCTGATTTGTTTGATGTTCTACTGTGAAGTACAATCTTTGCTGCAGGTTCTCTGTGGGGTTGGAAAAAATTTTCTCCTGTTTTTGTTTCCTGGTATTTAGCAATGAATGTTGAATTTTATTGATATTATTTATGAGTGTTTGAGATAATCATATAGATTGTTGTAAATTTAAAACATTTATTTACTTTTTTGATATGGCGTGTCGCTGTGTCACCCAGGCTAGTCTTGTTCTCGTGAGTTCACACAATCCTCCCATCTCAGCCTTTCTAGTTTTTGGAAATGCAGGGGTAAGCCACCATGCCTGCCTTTTAATTTATAGTCTCAAAAATTTGTAATGAATTATCTGTGTAGTCTGGAAACACTTCCTTTAGTCAAGATGTATCATATATAGATAAATGTCTTAATTTTTTTGCAGGTATTTTCTTTGGGATCTGTGTATTTATGATCACAAAAGATGTAAGCTGTGGGTTTCTATACTAAGGTATTTTATATCCTTGGCATTTTAATTATATTACCTTCGCTAAATATGTTGAGGAAATTTAAAAACTACTTTTATTATGAAATATTTCCAATAAAAAACAACGCCATCAAATTTTTCAAAATTAAATATCATATTTACTTCAGATTTCTTAAATAAGTAGTAAGTTACAAGAAAAGTAGTAATCTCCTTTGTACTACTTCCCAGTAATTCCTCTATTTAGCAAAGATGTGAACAGTAAGCATACTGAGAATATGTGAATTTGGTGTTTATAATGCTTATGTTTTTATACTTTAATGATATGTTTATACAAATAACTTTGTAAATAATTATTGGAGAAATTTTACATTTAGTGTCTAGTTAGTATAATTATTATAGACGTAGTCTCAAGAGGCAGGTGGTCTTGGCTTGATGTTTCAAACTATATTAGTAGATCTGTCTATTTCTGTTGTCAATTCTGTGAGTTTTTGTTTTGTTTTTTGTTGTTATTGGTGCATACTGTTACATCTTTGGAGTTACTTTATACTTTTATTATTATGAGATAACTGTCTTTCTCCTTTTACTGTCCCTTTTTTTTTATTGTCCCTTGTTTTGAGGTCAACTGTATCTAGTATTAACACAACCACTCCACTGCCAATATTGTTTTCTTGGTGACAATTATTTTCTTCACTGTGTCACTAATGAAAAGTTGTTTCACTTTGATTTTTGAAAAAAAATTTTTTACTTAACAAAGGATTTTGTGTAAACAATTTTTTCTCTCTGTATCAGCTAACCTTTGAATATATCTCGCTTCTTTGGCTTATATAGTTCTGACAAGAAATTTGTTATATTAGCCTATTGTAATTAGTCTTTGATAGTTTTTTGTTTTTCTATACTTAGCATTTCTTTTGCTTCTTTGGATACTTCTGACATTTTCCTTTATTTTTAGCTTTTATTATTTTGTTTCTAATGTATCTGGTGCTGTGTTTGTGTACTTCTGCATGTAGTTTACTAAGCTTCTTGTATTGGGAGTTTAGAGTTATGAAATGTGGAAAAGTTTTGACAAATTTTGGGCAAATATTTTCCAATCCTAATCAACCCCTTTCTGAGACTCCAATGAAATATATGTTAGACTGAGTATTTTTTCATTTTATTTATTTTATTTCTGTATTTCATCTTGCATCGTTTCTTTATATGAACTAACATTTCCTTCTTCCCTGTCTTCTCTGTCATTAAGGCCTATCAGTGAAGTTTTTATTTCAAATAATGTATGATTGACCTCTACATATTGTTTGATTTTGTTTTTTAAATTTTACATCTGTTCTTCTTTATGTTTACCTTTTTATTTTACTTTGAACATGTATTTATTTTAGAAGTTTAAAGCCCTTTCACCCTAATTCCAATATTTTTGTCATTACTACGTAAATGTCTGCTGATTTCATCTGGTTATATATTACATATTATGTTTTTTATGTACAACTAGTAACTTTGGATGCTAGGCATGGTAAATTTTGTACTTTAAAAATTATTGAGGTTCATTCTAAAAGGCAGCTTGATCTTTTCAAAAGTTATTTTAAAGTATTAAAAGTCCAGATAACCCTTTGCTCTATGAGTAAATTTAGCAGTACTACTAATGCGTGGTCCTTCTGGGGTTTATAATCAATGCACTATGCATTCAGTGTGTCTGGTGGGAGAGCTAATGATTCCCAGTATGTATGAACTCTGGGAATGTGGCTTATAGCTCTTTGGCAATTTGTTTTCTCCCCATTACTCTCTCTTTATCTAGCCATATGGACTTCACTATCACATGACCATGTTGGTCCTTGGCTAAAGATTCAAGCACCCCGTGCTTGATTTCTGAAGCTCTACCTGTACATAGCACATCTCTGTACTGTGCCTCAGAAGTTCTAGCCTCTTTGTTTGACTATCTGATTTATCTCTTCAGCTTTGTGAAATACTTGGGCTCTGTTTGGCTTTCCCTTTTGTATTATGGTCTGGAAATCATGTCAGGCAGAAGAAATGTGAAGGTAATTGTAGCTTTTACTTTGTTTACTTTGATTATCTCTGTCATCATAGTCCTGCACTACCTATTGTCCAATCCTAAAAGAGTTTCTTATGTTTTGTTCAATTTTATAGCTATTTTAACAAGAGGGTGAAAATAGAAGCAAATGGACTGAGCTGGGTTCTTTTAATAAAGGAAAAGTTTTTTAAAGCAGGTTTTAAGCACAACAGGCATTTGAATTTTGCTGTCGACATTAATAAAAGACTAGAGGAGAAAGGGAATTTAAAAAGCCATATAGTTGAATACCCATTTTAAGGGTGATAAAACTGATGTGGAGGGAAATAAAATAACTTGACTGGTGCCTGATCTATGGATTTATAGTTTGGAGAGAACCAGGGTCTCTTTATTCCTGGTTTGTTGTCAATCATTGTAATGTGCTATCTTTTTGCCGTCTCAAATGAATAGAGTATATCAATGCCAATGGCATTTGCAATCATAAGAACCACACTAGAAGTAATATCCTGTGAAGTTTTAATGACATACATATTCTTTTTTGTTCTGGATCAGACTGAATTTTTGTTTTTAACTTTATTGTGCATTGCTTTTTAGTATCTGATTTAATGGCAGTGTTTAATTGTCTTATTAAGTTTAATGATATATCTGTAGAGATGAACAATTTAAGAGGCCATAGAATTGAAAGAAGATAAAAATGTTTTTCTTTTTAAAATGTTTATTTTAATGTAATATGAGTAGATGTTAAAAAAGAAAGTATAAAAAGAGTTACACAAAATATTTTTTATAACAAAAATAGAGAATAACAATGTTAAATACACTGTATAGCATGATCTTAAAATAATATATTTTCTTTTCTTAAAATAATATATTTTAAATTAGTAATCTGTCTCTCAGTTCATTTTCTAATAATACTATGCCTTTTAAAAATATTAGTAATGTACTTCTCATCATTGCGTGCTATTGAATCGTTTATATTTCTATTGTATATTTAAAATCTTTCTGATTAATTGATACATTTTACTTTATTAAATAGTGCATCTCAGTGATTTCTAAATTGGCATTATTTTATTTCTCTTTCTCCCTTCAAGGATATATCTTTAAAGGGAAAAATATATGTCAAAATGCCTCAGATGCAAGCAGACACACCAAAGATGGAGGCAGACCAAGTGCTACCACCGAATGTTAGGGAATCTGAAATGGTAATGTCTTTAATAAAAATCCTCCTTGCCCATGTTAAAGTGGTAGTCTGTTTCCTGTTGCTTGAATGTTTATATAGAGAATTTAAATTTTTTCCTCTAATTTATTTTAGAAGTGTATTTGACTGTAAGCCCACCTAATCCAACACACTCTTGGGAATGCTGGCTATTTTGGTTCACTGTGGCTATCACAGACCTGAGCTAAGGTTAAACACTTTTCAGAAGGAAAAGATTTTCAACAGCTCTTCTAGTTTAGAGATATTTCGATCTTGTCAGTAGCTCGAGTTAATTAAAAATTATTAGCTTCTATGAAAGCCACACTTTAAACTGTGTTTAGTTGGAGAGTTTGTTACGAACACTGAAGAAGCAAGAGGAAAATTTTTGTTGGGAAACATGGACAATTGGTGACAGAAGTTTGTTGCAGAAACAGGGCTTCCTTTTGGTCCAAAAGTGGCAAAAGTAATTGTGGAGTTCAAGTCAGTCTGCACAATATTCTCTGTGAAATGGGAAGTATTTGCCTATGTATAGAAATTCAGATTTACATAAAAATATGTCATTATGATCCATTCCTTTAAATAGGCTTCATAAAATGGTATCATTAAATACAGAGCTTGCTCCTTTAGATTTTGAAAAAAGGGCCCTATCCACATAACTTTTAGGAGAATGGATCATGTTCAGAAAGTATATAGAATCTCTTCTTGGAGATTCTACCATAGCCACGGTCTTATAATGTTACAGTTACCACAAACTGTACAGCTACAGGAGACTGAGGTGCTTCCGGATGAGACTGCGTCTCTTTGTGCTTGGTATTCTCATCACCTGAGTTTCCTCACTTAGTAGTTACTCGGTGATATTCTGTGAATAAGTCCATTGTGAAGCCGCACCACACACACTGTGGTCTTAATATTCATCTGTAGCATACGTACCTCCAGGTGACACTGTTTACAGGTAGATAGCAAAACCCCTGGCCACAAATCCTCTAGTAGACATAGTAAAGTAAAAATGAAAGATCAGTTAGGATTAACAAAATAGAAATTTTTATTGGTAGCTAAAGACGAGTCAATGTCATTTACTACATTTATGTAGAGAGCAAGGAAAGAGGTTATCAGGTGTCTAGTTTAAACATAATCTTGAGTATATAAAATTAAGATTTAAACATGCATATCAATTTCTTTGTAATTCTGTGGACCCATCCACTTAGCACCAACATTTACAAGCTGCACCTCTCCTGGCTACTGGTGTTTTGAGGAAGCTCATTTCTTTTTGGATGGAAAATATTTCTTAACTTGGTATCTGGTCATGGTAAAAAGGCTCCTCTATGGTATTTCATTTCAGACACAGCTTTTAGGTACCTACTCTGTGCCCAACAGCAGAAGTTCGGCTGCATGTCCCACTTAAAGGTGTTGCCATGGTAGATTCTAGGCTATGATTTGTCTGGACAGCCCTCATCAGGATGTCTCCATTCCAGGAGACCTTGTGCTTTCTAGTGGTACCTGTTTGCTTCCCCTCAGAACAACGCAGCCTCAGTTCTGAGCAGCTCTGTGCCACCAGGTCTCTGGACTTTTAGTTCTTTGATGCAACTATTTTTAAAAGGAGCATTGTTAATGGAATACTTTTAAAACATATCTTCACTGTTTTGAATAGAAGAGTTTTTGAGCCATCATAGTGAGTGGTTTCTTCTTATACTTACAAAAAAGGAATTCATTTATTTCTTTTCCACACCAGTATATGCAGAGTCAAAGCCTTACACTACTATTTAATGAATATTCTAACACGGATTACTCACATAGTAGAGAAAATCAGAAATAATTTCCCTTCATTTAGGTATTCATTTAGTTATTCATAAATAATTGCAGAAAATCTGCAGCATGCCACGTGCTCTCTCCCTTCTTTTCCACTTCATCCTGCTCCTTCTCCTCCTTCTTTTCTTTTTTCCTTCCTTCCTCTCTTTCTGTGGTGTTGGGGATCAAACTCAAGGCCTCACTCATGCTAGGCAAGTACTCTATCACTATGATTTATCCCCAGAACACAACTTCCTTTTTATTTATTTATTTATATTGGTACTGGGGATCCAACTTGGGTCCTTGCGCTTGCAAGGCAGGCCGCGGAACTGCTGAGCTAAATCCCCCACCCTCACAACTTCCTTTTAAAAAAAAAATTTTTTTTTATTGAGTTTATTGGTACAATCTAGGTATACAATACAATTACATTCATCATTGGGATTCTGTACCTTTACATAATAGGTCTTGATTCTCATTTTTCCCCTTGTCCCTGCCCTCCCTTCACCCCCTTCTCCCCTCCCCATTTACAAACACTTTATTTCCATTTTTTCAATTTCTCATATTTTTTTCCTCTCCCTTATTACCTTCCTCCACCCTTCCCACTTTCCCTACACCTTTAGCCCTTTACTTCCTATTTCACATTATTAATTATCTCATTAGGATCCTGTGTACTATTATAGTTTTTCACACCAAAGAAACTATTCGGTATTTCAGTTAAAGAAATCTATGTATGAACATTAAAAATAGGGAATCCTAAAATAAAACTAAAAAGGAAAATAAAAGAGAAAAGGTAATGATGTAGGATTAAAATAATCCTTAATTCTGGAGATGAAAATGGTCCCTGAACATATTTAAATTGCTTCTCGCTCTTATAGTCTTATTCTTTTCTTCATTATTTAGAGAATACTTTATTAGTTTCTGTAATCAAACATACATAGATATGACCTTACATATTTAGTACGATATGTTACCTCTGCACACATGGAAAAAAAATAAAAAATAAAAAAAAATAAATTAACATTTCTAGACCAATGTGGTTGTCCA